CCATGTATGTGTGTGTAGATGAGGTGAGAGAGGGCGGTTCATAAGGGGGAATATCTCAGGTGGTCAGGAGGGGGCGGGTTGTTCAGTGGGGGGGGGGGGGGTGGAGGGAGGCAAAGGTGCGAACGTTGGGATGGGGGAATTTGTAAGGGAGCAAAGGTAAAAACGTTAGGGGGATATAAACGGAATCTTTTTGCAATTTGTGTTTAGGTTTCAAACTGGAGTAGGCCGCACACTCGGCTTGCAAATTTTCCGCATTTTTCATTACAAAGTGAAAGAACCCACCCCCCCCCCCCCCCCAGACGCCGTGTAAACATTCCAGGCGAAGCCCTGAATGTTCCGACTCGACTGCCTTTTAAGGTTTATGCAGCAATAATAACATAAAAAATTAAATGTAATAAAATAAAATGATTTTTTTTTCTAAAATTTGAGTTTTTTTTTGTGAAAATCACACCCCCCCCCCACGCTACAATACATTTTGAATGATATGAAAAAGTTCCGTCAAAAATGGCTAGTTAAGAAGGCGAAATTTGTCTGAAGAAAAAAAACACTCCCGAGCACAAATATTCCGTTAGTTTCGTAACGAAAGTCGGAACAGTAAGACTGCTCGTATCAGTGGAAGCTTCAAATATTCCGTGTGCCTTTTAAAGTCAATGGAGCAGTATTAACATGAAAAAAAAATTGAAAAAAAAAAATGTTTTTTTAACTTTTAGATTTTTGTGTGAAAATTTTCCCCCCATACGCCATATAATGTACAAAATGTATATTTCGCTACTAATAACAAATCAGTTATGACAAATAAGCTTCTTTCGACCAATTTGGAATAATTTCTAAGGCGGACTTAATCTCCGCTCACGCACAAATATTTCGTTTCTTTAGACAATAAATTGCAAAGTTTTGCACTCAATTTCATATAAATAAAAAAATCAATGGCGAAAACAAAAGAAGATAAACCAACTATTTTTCAAAATAAGGCATTGAGATAAAAAGCAAACTTTTAGAAATTGGGATGAAACCAAAAATTAAACATTGAAAATGTATTGCAATTCAAAAACGTGTAATAATGAAATTTTTTTATGAATTAGTAAAAAAAAACCTTCATTTTTACAGAAAGGCGAAACGGAACTTTACACAAATTGCAATTTGCAATACAGCACAAAAATAGTATGGCGAAATAATTGACAGCAAACAATGAGAGTAGAAAAAAAATCAAAAAAGCAGCAAAAAACTGTGTCTAGAAAAATTTTCAAAAGTATCACTCACAAGGTGTTCAATAAAACTCATTTTGAGCAAAACCTACAAAAATATAAATGTTATATTAGCATCGGGCAAAACTTACCAAGCAGTAACAAACCCAATTATAGTTAAGCAGACACCCGTTGAGTCGGAAAAATTCGGTAAAACAAAATGAATTTCAGAAAACTTTTTGAACGCTTGCGCCCCCCCCCCCTAAAACACACACGCTCGGAACCAACTTCCTTCATGGATAAAATGACTCAAATTGAGTAAACTATTCCAATAAAAATTAGGTTGAAAGCCTGTAAACTAAATTAAGCAAAAAGGCAAAAACAAAACAAAAAAAAACTAGAAATGATTGAAATCGAGTTAATAAATTTACAGCCAACAAAAAAAACATAGCCAAGAAGTAGTTAGAAAATTGTGAAAGAACTCAGGAAAACCTAAAAAAAATATAAAACTTTGGATTTTTTTAGCATACGAATTTTTACAGAAAAAAATATCACGTTAAAACTCTTAACAATTCAATAGTTGTCTATAATTGGACTTTACTCTCAAATTTATCGCATTTAAACCAAACTGAATCAAAGCTTTTTTTATTCCGCTAAGAAGTTAGAAAAAAAACATTTTGGAAACTAGGAATCAGTTAGGTTTTTGCGACTTTCACTCATTTGCTGTTCAATAATAAAGCTGGCCTTCTTTTTAGACTCATACGAATAAAACACTTATCTGAATTAAGAAATAAAAATCTTAAAACGAACTAAATTGAAAGAAAATAAACGAAAAATTGCGAAAAAATTAAACTTGAAAGAGAACAAATTTATGGATTTTTTCGTGATCAAAAAAACTATCAAGTCCTAACCAATTGGAAAACACTTAGTTCCTTTTTTTACAAATAACAAAACCTTTTATAGATAAACTTCCAAATTTGATTAAATGATCTTGTAATACAAGTTGTAATCCTGAAAAAAACATATGTTTCGATTTGTTAACGATCAGAAAAGTAATAGGTCTTAGTAAAATCTATGATACAAGAAAATCTTCAAACTTTTTTTGTTGTTCCTGTGAACTATGCGGGCTCATAGCTAAAACTGACAATAAGTTTAGCATAAATGTCACAAAAAGCTTTCAAAAAAATAAACATTCGAATACAATTTTGTAGAAACTTATGTCAAAATCAGCTCTGTGGAAAAACGTTTCAAATTTACATGCAAGGGTAGGTCAAGGAATTTCTCGAGGGATGGGTGAGGGAATAGTTTCGAAACAAGTTTGTCGACTTTTTCTAGGTCGACCAAAATTATTTTGGAGATCTTCCAAAACACTTTAAAAACCCTGCATATAATCATCCTAAACTCATTCCTGCCAATATTCGTCTGTAAACAACTCGAGAAACGTTTGAGAAATTGAAAAAATAATCGGAAAAGGAAATTCAATATCAGACGAACCAACTGAATTTTATGTGTGTTGACCACCAAGTGGATTCGTGATAAATTCTTATGACTTCATGAAATAGGGGATATTCTACTCTTAGGTTGTGTCAAAGTTCAATTCGGTAATTCAACTTGTTCGAAGTTTAATAATTTCGACTTAATTGAATTGTCCAATTTACTTTTAAAACAGACTGTGTTTTCTGATCACCGCTTAATTTCATTCCTGTATAAGAAAAACGTAATCCCTGGGTCAATTTATAAAGTGACAAAAAAAGGTCCTGGATACAACAAAAGTGGCTTTAGTGTAGAATGGTTAATAAGAAAAACTCAGCCTAAACCAAAGACTAAGTGATGTGAATCACAATGCAGAAGCAATTCAACAAGTCTTTCAAACGATAATTGAATAATGCACTCCAAAAATTTGCTGAAGAATTGGAAAAAGTTTTCAGAATTTCTGGAGCAGAGCAGAATACCAATCTGAAAAAAAATATAAACATAAACTGGAACGAGAAGTCCGAATAACAAAATCAGAAACGAATTTGTATGTGTGTGTAGGTGAGGTGAGAGAGGGCGGTTCATAAGGGGGAATATCTCAGGTGGTCAGGAGGGGGCGGGTTGTTCAGTGGGGGGGGGAGGCAAAGGTGCGAACGTTGGGATGGGGGAATTTGTAAGGGAGCAAAGGTAAAAACGTTAGGGGGATATAAACGGAATCTTTTTGCAATTTGTGTTTAGGTTTCAAACTGGAGTAGGCCGCACACTCGGCTTGCAAATTTTCCGCATTTTTCATTACAAAAATGCAGAAAATCTTGCAAAATTTTGCGCGACGAGAAATAAAAATAAAGTTGAAAAATTTCCATTTGAATGTGAGTTTCTACTGAATAAATAATCCATTATACCGGATTTCAAACAAATTATAATGCATAAAATTTTGCAAAAAAAAATTGATTTAAATCCATTTTTAGTCCAATTTTGTTGTCTGAGCGTAACATAGGAATCGATTATATTGACAATAATTTAGACCACTAAAATCCATTATAACAGATTTTTTTTCACTTTTCTCAAATGCGAGTAAAGTTCGGATACAATTCAAAGCGCACTTTAATTACGCTGCATTAAGAATTGGGATTAAAATTTGTGCTTTTATCATTTCCACACCGAGTAAAAATATCATTGTTCCGACTTTCGTAACAAAAGTAACGGATTATTTGTGCTCGGACAAGTTTTTTCTTCAGACAAACTTCGACTTTTCAACTAGCCATTTTTTTGAATATTATTCAAAAATTGTTGTTGTTTTGAGCTTATATTTGAAAAAAAAACATTCACCTAAATTCATTTTTTGTAAGTTTATGGGGCAGTCTTCCAATTTGGGACAATTAACGCGCAATATATTTCGCGCTATTAACTTAAGCACAAATTCAATCCGTCTTAGGAATCATTCCAATTTTGATGAAAGAAGCTTACTTGCCATAATTGATTTGTTGCTAGGAGCGAAGTCTATCACTTTGTACTTTATATGGCGTGTGGGGGGATGATTTTTACTAAAATCTCAAATTTAAAATATTTTTTAAAATTTTATTTTATTTAATTTTTTCATGTTATTACTGCTCCATAGATCTTAAAAGGCAATCGGAACATTCAGGGCTTCGCCCTGATACGAGCAGTCTTGTTGTTCCGACTTTCGATGCGAAAGTAACGGAATATTTGTGCTCGGGATGGTTTTTTTTTTCTTCAAACAAATTTCGACTTTTTAACTAGCCATTTTGACGGAATTTTTTTTTATCATTCAAAAGGTATTGTTGTTCTGAGCTTAAATTTGAAAAGATATTTCACCTGTGATTATTTTTCGGAAAGTTATGAGGGTTTAAAGATTGCCATTTTGGCCATTTTGACCAATTTGGGACAATTAACGCGCGATATAATTCGCGCTATTAACGCATAAGCGGAGATTTAATCCGTGTTAGAAATCGTTCCAAATTGGTTGAACGAAGCTTATTTGCCATAATTGATTTGTTACAAGGAACAAAATCTATCCTTCTGTACTTTATATGGCGTGTGGGGTGATAATTTTCATTAAAAAATTCAGATTTTGGAAAAAAAATTTCTTATTTAATTTTTGTATGTTATCACTGCTCCATAAACCTTAAAAGGCAGTCGGAACATTCAGGGCTTCGCCCTGATACGAGCAGTCTTGTTTGGCTTAACTATAAGTTATTCTTGGCGGGGGAAAATTAGCCAATTACATCCGTGATTGGTGATAATATGGTACTTAGAGAAACTATACTGCTAGATGTACAACCGAAACAAATTTAGCGTACCTTAGAACTTAATTTATTTCAGTCGACGACCGGTTGAGAACTACCGCAATAATCGCTCTTCTAACTTGCAGCCTCAAATCTCAGTTAATGCACCCCCAACCAACGCTGTCCCGGTCGCCCCCATGTCCGAACGACGAAACCTGTCCTTCACAGAACTCTGGGTTCCGGACATGTTCTGGAAATCCAACAGCGATACGGAGTGTTCCAGTTTACAAAAACAAACGACTGAAAGATCCCGCAACGGATCTGGAAACTTGGTTTTTTCCAAGCCAACTCTGGGAGGCAGTTCCAATGACTTATGCAGTAACCTCACGTACCCCAGTTTTCTGTCTCACACTCCGGCGGCAAAGGGAGTTAAGCGAGTCCCACGACCGAACACAGAGCCGAGTGCTCGTCGAAAAATAACTCGTAGCGAGACGATTCTCAACATCAACGACACACGCGCATCAGTTAGTGACTCGGGCTGGGCTGAGCGATTCGGGAGCCGTTTGAGCTCATTGGACGGTTGCCGTTCGTCCTCTTATTTCAACATCAACTTGCAGGTCGGTTTCAAAAAAAGCTCATTAGTACTATCACAAATGTAATAATGACTTTTGTCTTGAAACCCTGTTCTGGGATCTTTTTCCTTTTTTGAAGTTCGCACAAGCATCAATTTCATAAACGAGGCGTTTTAGAAAGCTGAGTATTAAGACCAAATATGTTTTTCACGGGTAATTAGTTCGCGTGCCATTTTTTGTAACAATCGGACGATATGAACAAAAAAAAATTACCTGTAAAAACTCCCAGGTCTTTGAGACGACAAAGAAATAGCCCTATTCTAAAAAAATGTTCTGTAATAACGACTTATGCTTATATAAATTTCTTGTTCTAAAATCAATCATGACAGGTATAAAATAAAGCGTTCTGATGATATTTCAGTCGCGTCTGCCGCATCTGCAGAGTGTCCCTCGGGTGCACGCGTTCACCTTCTGCTTCCTCTTGGCCACCTGCTGCATCGCAATGGTTACTTCTCTTTCTCACTCTATGTATAATTAACAGTTATAATCAGGGGCGGATTTAGGATTTTCTCGAGGGGGGATTTTCAAAAATTTTTGGAAAACGTTGACCTTTTTTTTAGGTCGAACAAATTGATTTTCCGAGCTCTTCTAGAGCACTAAAAAGACGCTGTTTTGGCCAATTTTTGGAAAATTTTGACAAAAAAATCGCGTGTTTTTGGCACGCGCTCCCCCTCAAAGTGAGTATACATTGAGTTGTATACTTTATTAGGTTACTCACCGTTTCAAACGCACAAAGTGATGTTTTAATTTTCTATCTAACTGCTAGAAAAAAATTCCAAAATTTTTCGTTTGTTGGCAAAATTTATGTGACAACTTTTGTGTTTCCGAATGCATTTAATTTCCATTTTTTGTTGCTTTTGGGGTTATCAGTACTTATAAGTGTTTGAACAAATCAAACCGCTACTGAGAGCACAAAATCAGCTGCGTAACATCTTCGTTGCTGGTGTGTTTAGGGTTCGGTCAGTTTGTTCACCAAATCTCAATACCTACTGCCCAAATTCTACTTGTTTTACCTGGTGGCCAACATCTTCTACTTCGTCGGGTAATACAAAACTTCTATATTTACTGATTCACAAAACAATTAGGGGAAAATTTAGGGGGAACACCCCCTCCTCTCAGAAATTCGATTCCAGACCACCCAAAGAATTACCGTTTGCTACTACTTTACGCCATCCGTTTTTGGCCAAACGACCATCCACTTTTTCTAAATGCGCCTTTCGCGCCAAAGCATACTTATTTTGACAAGGTGCGCGTAGAAATAGCAAAAAAATGATGAGGTGGCTGAAATCGATTTCAGTCATCTCATCGATATAGCGTAAAAATTTGCTCTTTTGCGAAGATAGACATTGCGAAATAAGAATAAAATACTTGACGTGGAAACTTAGCAAAGAGATTGTCATTTTTCGAAAAGCAAGGGCCCTGGCCGGATTCGAACAACAGACCCCCTTTGTACTATTTTGAGATATTCATTTTTGGTGAGGTACCCTAAAATTTTTCTAAAGGCGCCAATATACATTAGTTTTGAGGGGGGAGTTTTGAAAATTTTGTCTGCTGTGCCAAAACAGGGTCTTTTAGTGCTTTAGGAGACCTCGGAAGTTCATTTTGGTCGACCTAAAAAAAGTCCCCTCTCCCTCGAGAAAATCTTAGATCCGCCACTGCCTCCCTCTACCCTAAATAAGCGAAAGTTGTAAGTACCTGTAACTAGATTTGCTAATAATGTTAACTATTGATTTCTGTAAACAAAATTTTTAACATGAAAAGGTCTAGTACCAATAAGAAATACTATTACTTACCGCAAGAGTAAAAAAACCCGTCTCTCAATTTTAATATATAATGTATTACTTGACGAAGCGTTCATATTTTTGTATCGAGAATGTAAAAAGAACAGAAATTTCCTAAATGGGGTCTGTTATGAATTCATAGGGAGTCGCAAATCCCCTTAAGAAACAATTGAAAAAATGTCAGCATCCTTGATAAGTTCAGTATTTAAATTTGAATTGGTTGTATGATTGTTTTGAAAATTTTTGAACAAATCTCTTAAGTTTCCAAATTCACCCTCAGTGGATCTTCAGGAAGCTGGTTCTAATGTCTCTGCACGAACATCTGCTGCACTGTCTAGAGGACAAAAGATCAATCGCGTTGCTAGTGTACATGCTGCTACTGCTGACCACACCCATGATAGCAGCCAATGACTTGCCACCTGCAGTGGTCGCCATGTCAGTCACCATGGTAGCCAGCAACTTCTGGTTAGTCTGCCATGGATAGGGAAGATGGAGGGGGGGGGGGGTTGGTTGTAAATGATTAAACACGGTTTTCACGCCATTGATTAAATACTCAATGGCGTGAAAACTAGCCGGTCGCTGTTAGTTTTCCTTCATTCAATCCGGTCGCGATTAATTTTCCTTCGGTCGCGGTTAACGTTCCGTTGGTCGCGGACACATTGTCTCGGTCTGCAAAGTCTGGAAATACTAAGTTTTAATCGCGACTGTCTGATCATAAAACCACAACTTCGACCTGGATTAAATAAATTTTGGAATGTCGACGTTTTTTTTGTTCGTCGAAAGTCGAAACATACCCATTTGTAGTCGAGAATGACGAAACATGTCTATGGGGGGTCGAACAAATAAACTTTTATGAAATCTCGGTCGAGACAGTGGAAAACATATCGAACTTTGGTCGAGAAAGTCGAAACATATCTGAACTGGGTCGAACAAAGTCCAACACTTTTCACTTTTTTTGTTGGGTAGAAAAAGTCAAAACATACCAAAATTTGTTCGAGAAAGTCGAAACACCGATTTTTGGTAGAAAATGTCGAAACATAAATCAAGCCCCTCGACTCGGCTTGATATTCCTCCAGTTTTAAACTGCGTTCTGACGTCACTTGCCTCTTGTAAAATTTAGCTCGGTTCAAAACCAATTCCGGACAGTAAACGTCGCCACAGACCTGAAGTGAGCCAAAACTATTTGTCAATTTACAAAAAACAAAGTAATTATGCTCAATGACATGTTTCAGAAAAATTGCTTTCAAAAAATTTGAGTTTTATCCTGTCCTCTTGAATTTGTGGTTCAATTTTTTTATGCTTTACTTAATTTTTATGCTTTTTCTTTAGCCCAACTGGCATTGTAGATATCCGAATAAGTTAAAGTAAATTCCTAAATACCATGAGAGCAGCTACTCATTTATGGATGTGGTAATTAGAGAGGCTATTAGTCGTCTAGTTATTCTGTCCCGTTTTTTGTAGAATTGTTCACCAGAAAGAGTGAGAATTGGTTCGTTTTTGGCCGAAACATTGAAAGGACAAAAGCAAAATATGAGCTCTATCCATAATTGGAAGCATAAATTTCCATAATGATACACAAGGATAGTTGGTGGATCAACTTAACAATTACCCCCCCCCCCCCCTTTTAAGAAAGGTGGGCAATTGTTAAGAAGATTAAAATAACGCATTTTCGACCAATCAGATTGCAGCAAAATTAGAAGTCTCAAAAGGAAGCTCTAGCGCTATTTTACTGCTTTTAATAATAGGGGTGGCAATTCTTAAGTAGGTACCAAAGGGAGGGCAATTGTTAAGTAGATCCTTGCTGGTTACTGTGCAAGGAGCCGAGAATGAGCCGATTACCACTTGCGATTCGAAATTAATTTAACACTTTAATAACTAAGCCGGCTGAATTAAAGTCTGAAACAAAATAACTGTCCGTAAATTTCAACGAAAATGTACACGTTATAGCTCTGCTAAATTTTTAAATATAGAGTTGAAGCGGAATATCGCATCACTTTTGATAGGTTACAGACATAATACGCAAGCTAGTCGACAGAAACTGAGATTGAAGCCACCAATTCATGAAAAAATTATTAAATATAGAAAAAGCTAGACCTACCAAAATCTTAATTAGTTTATCTGGATTTGTCTTAAATGAAGCGTTGAATTAGCATTGAAACCAAATAGACGACACGTTAACTAAGCCGACGCCCGTTGGGCAGAAAACAAAATGTTTCCAAATTACATCAGTTGCTAAATTTTTTGAAACTCTGCACGTTAACATATGCATAAGAAACGTTTTGCGCTCTTCAAACGTTGCAACATGATGCAAAAAAGATTGAAAAGAAAGCCGGAAACATTTCAGCCGAATTACACGAAAAAACTCTTCTTCTACGTAAGCTTCATCATCGAAACAAAAACGAAAAGCCAGAATTTTCTGCTAGACGAGTACCTGCTAGACTATAGTACCTGCTAGACTATACTCGATGCCAATTTCAAATTTGAAACTCTTTTCAGTTTATCGTGCAATATTAAAAGGCATTATAACATAGAGGCGAACACGAGTTTCACATCCCTGTCTGATCATAAAACCACAACTTCGACCTGGAATAAATAAATTTTGAAATGTCGACATTTTTTTGTTCGTCGAAAGTCGAAACATACCCATTTGTAGTCGAGAATGACGAAACATGTCTATGGGGGGTCGAACAAATAAACTTTTAAGAAATCTCGGTCAAGACAGTGGAAAACATATCGAACTTTGGTCGAGAAAGTCGAAACATATCTGAACTGGGTCGAACAAAGTCCAACACTTTTCACTTTTTTTGTTGGATAGAGAAAGTCGAAACATATCAAAATTTGTTCGAGAAAGTCGAAACACCGATTTTTGGTAGAAAAAGTCAAAACATAAATCAAGCCCCTCGACTCGGCTTGATATTCCTCCAGTTTTAAACTGCGTTCTGACGTCACTTGCCTCTTGTAAAATTTAGCTCGGATCAAAACCAATTCCGGACAGTAAACGTCGCCACAGACCTGAAGTGAGCCAAAACTATTTGTCAATTTACAAAAAACAAAGTAATTATGCTCAATGACATGTTTCAGAAAAATTGTTTTCAAAAATATTTGAGTTTTATCCTGTCCTCTTGAATTTGTGGTTCATTTTTTTATGCTTTACTTAATTTTTATGCTTTTTCTCTAGCACAACTGGCATTGTAGATATCCGAATAAGTTAAAGTAAATTCCTAAATACCATGAGAGCAGCTACTCATTTATGGATGTGGTAATTAGAGAGGCTATTAGTCGTCTAGTTATTCTGTCCCGTTTTTTGTAGAATTGTTCACCAGAAAGAGTGAGAATTGGTTCGTTTTTGGCCGAAACATTGAAAGGACAAAAGCAATATATGAGTTCTATCCATAATTGGAAGCATAAATTTCCATAATGATACACAAGGATAGTTGGTGGATCAACTTAACAATTACCCCCCCTTTTTAAGAAAGGGGGCAATTGTTAAGTAGATTAAAATAACGCATTTTCGACCAATCAGATTGCAGCAAAGTTAGAAGTCTCAAAAGGAAGCTCTAGCGCTAATTTACTGCTTTTAATAATAGGAGTGGCAATTCTTAAGTAGGTACCAAAGGGAGGGCAATTGTTAAGTAGATCCTAGCTGGTTACTGTGCAAGGAGCCGAGAATGAGCCGATTACCACTTGCGATTCGAAATTAATTTAGCACTTTAATAACTAAGCCGGCTGAATTAAAGTCTGAAACCAAATAACTGTCCGTAAATTTCAACGAAAATGTACACGTTATAGCTCTGCTAAATTTTTAAATATAGAGTTGAAGCGGAATATCGCATCACTTTTGATAGGTTACAGACATAATACGCAAGCTAGTCGACAGAAACTGAGATTGAAGCCACCAATTCATGAAAAAATTATTAAATACAGAAAAAACTAGACCTACCAAAATCTTAATTAGTTTATCTGGATCAGCTACAACACGGCAAAATGTGGCTCTAAACAAAGAAAAAACAAATGAAAAAAAAAACTGAATAAAACTTTTGCCGGAACCGAACGGCCAACCTGCAGACTACGAGGCACGTCCTCGCATCTGCTCCATGGTCGCCTGACAAAAGACACAAACAAAAAAGACAAAACAGATGCTCTTAAATTTCCATTGCTATGCAGCAGAAATTGCACAAAAAAGCACTTATAATTGCGAGCTGGTCAAGAAACAGTGGATTCCTCGCTAGCTCGCTCGTATAAAAAAATCATTTGACAAACTGAAACCAGGCGAAAAAATTATTTGTTAAAAACAGGAAAAACCTTCAGCCCTTTTTGATTGAACCAAAAATCTCAGATTTGGGAGGGTAGTTTTCGGTCCAAACCCTAAATTTTTTTGAAAAAAATGAATGCAGCCGTTTATGCCGCTGAGTTTCCCACAACACGCTCTCTCCAACGAACCCAAAGTTTTAGATTTGAGATACTTTTTGAGAGAAATCAAAGTTTCAAAAAACGGTCAAAAAACATAAATTTTGTCAAATTTTCCAAAAAACCTAACTTTTTGCCAAAAAATTGGACATAGTTACTTATACAGGAAGCTTCGCACGACCCGTTTTTTATTGAAACCAAAATCCCAGATTTTCAAGGGTAGTTATGAAAAAATTCAAGAAGCTTCAAAAAAACGGTCAAAAAATCAAAATTTTAATCTTCTGAAGGCCATAATTTTTTTCCTGTTAAAATTTAGGGACAGCCGCCAAGGCAAGGACTTGCCACAATTCATTCTCTCTATCGAATCCAAAATCTCAGATTTTGGAGGGTAGTTTTCGAGAAAACTCAAAAAGTTTCAAAAAAACGTTCCAATAATCTTATATTTGACTCTTCCAAAGACCCAAAATTTTTGTGGAAAAAAATTGAGCGCAGCCGCTTATGCAGAGGAGCTTCCCACAACACGCTTTCTCCATCGAACCCATAGTTTCAAATTTGGTATAACACTTTTTGAGAAAAATCAAAGCTTCAAAAACGCGTATGCGAGAGAGTTTTCCACAACAGTTCTTTCAATTGAAACCAAAAACTCAGATTTGTGAGGGCAGTTTTCTCATCTAAAAAATTGGGTCTAATTTTTCCCGGCAGAATTTTTTGAAGACTGTAGATAGTGAGGTATGGTGAAAAAAGACTTAAAAAAGTATGCAGGCACACTGGGGAGTGGGCTGTGTTCCCATTGGTAACACTGATTGAAAACTGATTGAAGACATTGGTACCACTCCCCAACCTTAGGGATTAGACCCTCACATCATGGGGTCCCCCTTTGATTTTATTTTATGCGATTCATTTTCGGTCCATCCACCCTGAGTTTTTTTCTGAAGAAGCCTTCGACGCCAATATAAACTAATTTTGTAGGGAGCGCGCTCCAAAAAACACAATTTTTTTCGGTCAAAATTATCCAAAAAAGTGGCCTGTCAAATTTATCCAAAACGTTTTTTTGGCCTGTTTTTTCACAAATATTTTATGTAAAAGTAAGGTCTTTAGAATGTTCTGGGAGTACTCGGAAAATAAATTTCGAAAATCTACCCCTCTCTCGAGAAAATCCTAAATCATCCCATGCGCATAATACCTGTTTTTATTATATACAAAATTGAAATAATGCAACAAGCTGAACCTCCAAAAAAACGTTCTGCCGGAAATACGCGGGAAAAAATAAGCTCACAATCGAGTCTAAAACGCCAAAAACTTTCTTTTTGCAAAAAAAAAGAACAGATTCGAGTCGGACTCGATCGTAAGAACTTTGCGATCTCAATTATGCGTATCACCGCTGAACTAAATGAGTAAAATTCCCAAATTTGATTTTGAAAGCATTAGAAGTACGTGCAGCATTTTCACGCGCAAAATCTGCGAACAGTTCTTAACGGGGAAAAAAGTCTGGTATATTGTTGAATTACACTTGCTTATCACAAGGGTATAGAGAACTAAAAAACGTTCCGCCTTCAGAAAATGCGGCCAATATACATACAAATCAGCCACAAACCGAATCGGCCAAATTTAAATTTTCAGTTAAATAAAGTTTCAATTTGAAATAGTTGAACAATTTTTTATGCTAAGTGACAATTTATAGAGCTGAAACGTATGTACAATAAAAAACCAATATTTATCAATCGACATAGTAGAATTTTTCTGAAGCTTTTAACCGGATTTTTTTCCGAAACAAAAATAAACACATCTGAACCCAAGATTCTTTATCTCCAATTTGAGCCTACAAATGACAACAAAATACTAAACATTCATAAACTTTACCATGCATTTATAGTTAAGCACGTAAAAAATATTACCAGCTGTTTGAAGTTTCAATTGACTTCTGTGTGTCATGGTCCATCAAATTGTTCAAACAGA